ATTAAAATAATTAAAGTAAAATAAACATATATACAAATATTAGAGTTCGTGTGTAGATCAAAACAATAACTAGAATAGACAAATAAGAGTAAGGATTGAAATACAACGACAATCATTTATGGAAATAAAAAAAATTGTAAATAACAATAATAATAACTAAGGGAGAATTTAAAGAATTGGTTAAGTAAAAAATTATTGATTCCATCAGACTTGTAACACATCAAACCATGGGGAGTGTTTTCAAAAATGAACGAGGACACGCTGCTTTGAGTCAAATAGATGTGGGGTGGACCTTTAGACATTTCCACTAGTACATAAACTAAAATACACTTGGGTAGAAAAAAAAGAAAATAATATAAGATAATAACTACTAGAGCTAAACCAGAAATATTAAAAATAGAGAACAAAGAAACAATTGATAAACCAATTGAAAAAAGGGCGCCACCATATTCTTTCTTTATAGCTTAAAAAAATTGATACATTTATTAAAGTATTCATCTCTGTCGTATATTTACGAACATGTATAAATTAAATTTTTAAACTATTCTTTACCTGCTGGCTACCAAGAAGAATTTTCAAATGCTCTTTTAAAATAATTTAAGAAAAGATTTACATTTTCTAAGTGTATAGCATATGACTTATAGGTATTTGGAAATTAACATTTTAAATTATAATTTAAATTTAGTATCTATTATTATTCTGAAATAGTAAAAATAATGAATGTTAAAATTAATTAAAAAATATTATTTAACTTTAAAATTTGTTTCTTATTGTCGCTGGAATAATATTCATCATCCTCATAAGTGACTCAACAATCCTTTGTGAATCCTCCTCACAAAGAAGTCACCATTCGTGTCGATTCCTGGCAAACTTTCCTACATCTTCTAACTCTTAGAATCAGTAGGTTTCTTCCACATCATCAATCCATCTCTTTCGTGGTCGTCCTCTACTTGTTGTGCCCTCTGGTTTAAAAAATGTTAACCTCGTCGTCTATTCGTAATCTGACATCCTAGCAATGTGTCTATCCTACCTAAGTTTATGCACTTTAACAAATTTCACAATATATGGAGCGGTCTATAAGTAATATAGTTCAAAGTTGTATCTTCGACACCATAGATCATTTTCATTTACGCCCTAAAAATCTTTTTAAGAATTTTTCTCTCAAAAATACCAAGAAGTTTTTCTGTCTTATTAAGGTCTTGTATATATTGAACTTTACTATACATTTTATATTTTTATTTTTAAATGTTTCTGGAGAACGTGAACAGTTCTGTTTGCTATTGCTAAGCGTCTTTTTATTTCTTCGCTTGTCGTGTTTGTTGCGTTTACTCGCGGTCCAAGATATGTGAATTCTTTGACTGGCTCAAAGGTATATAAATATAACAAGCGAGTCTTTTACAGCAGGTGCCGCTTCTCGCATCCTAATTTCCAGCGTTTTCTGTCGAAGCAATCTTCAGTTGTTAGATCTCTGGCGGTCATTGCATCGTCGACATCGTCTCTCCAGGATCGCCTTGGTCTACCTCGTTTTCTTCTAGTTGGCGGAGTCCATTCTTCTATTTTTTTGGCCATCTATTTTCCGGCATTCTCTGAAGGTGTCCATACCAGTTAAGTCTTTTGGCTTTGATTGTATCTATTATGTCTTGACCGATTTCCACTTCTCTCCGAATATCTTTGTTTCTCACCCTATCTCAAATCTCATATCTCAATAGGCTCAAAGGTATGGTTGTTAATGTCAATTCTCTGTTGGATATTTCGGGAGTTTTAGAAACCAACATATATTTGGTTTTTTCCTCGTTTACCACGTTTCCTAATTCACTTGCCGCGTCGGCAAGCCTTGTAAACCACTGCACAATGTCTCTCATACTTTTGCCCACTATATCGTCAGTTAATGCGAGAATTTGCGTTGATCTTTTAAAAATAGTTTCATTTATTCTAATATTTAATTATTTGATTGCTATTAATCTGTAATACTTCAGAATCTTCAAATCAAAATATTCCAAAAGCGGTACTCAGTATCGAGTTTTACCAAGAGTACCTTTTTCGTGTAAAATTGAAGGATGTTTAAGTTTACTTGAAATTTTGATTAATAATTATACTCTTAAAAAAGTTATATTGACTTATATTTAGTACGATCCGTGTAACTAGCGCCCTTTATGAGAATCAGATATCAAAATAAATTCATGGGATGTATCAGCAATGAATTCAAAACATATTCGTCTAAAATTTCATTACAATGTTGCCAGCAGTTTCGGTAAAATCGTAAAAAATTTCTTCAATGCCCTGTATCTTGAAAACGGATGGTTTTATAAAAATTTTTTACTAAACAAACTCCAATTATTTTTCAGTTTTTTACCTACCCTAGAGACGGTATCAATTAATAAATAGTTGTATACATATGGAAATAAACAGTATTAAGATCAAGAAATACCTTTACAAATACAATATAATAAAACCATGCACAGATTAAATTATCAGAAAAGATAGTCTTCTAGTATTTAAAAAAATTTAACTAAAGCTGATTAAAGCAGTCTCTCTTCGCTGTTTATGGGCTTATCTCCAGATAACGGGTACAGTCAATTTCAAAATGGATAGAAATTATAGCCAATAAAACAAAATTAATTAAATTTAAATTCAAAAGAATACAAAAAGATTACAAGAACTCTGTACCTATTCTGAATTCTGAAATCAACTCGCACTTTGTTGTAAGTTAACTGTCTGCCTCGCACTGTTTTTAGTTTAATTAACTATCCTTACTGAATAGTGAATGATCGTAATTATTTGTGACAAGTTCTTAATAACTGATTGAAAGTTCGTATAAAAGAATTAAATGTTCTTTTAATTGAATTGATAAATCGGTAGTTAACCTTAACTACAGGTGAAAAAATGGTTGACGCAGGTTCATCCAGGATTTGGTAATATGATTACAATACTATTCGCTCAGATAATTAAAGGTAATATGATTACGATAAATTAAAATAAATCTCGATGACTACTACACTATTTCACTGATTCTAACTACTTTACTGGTATCAAGCACTGTATCAAGTTAATCAAAATGAAGGTATTTTATAACAATATTTATTCTAATATGGTATTAGATTAAGATATTTTAAAGATTTAAGTGTATACATACTTAAAGACATTCAACATAAAAAGCTTGTAGATATATTAAAAAGCAAAAATATTGACAGTCGTGATCTGAAAATTATATCTAATTTATATTGGAATCAAACTGCCAAGGTAAGAGTTGACAGCCAGTACACCGAAAGTATCAAAATACATAGAGGAGTCCGCCAGGGTTGCGTGCTGTCCCCACTACTTTTCAATGTCTACAATGAAGCGGTATTTCAAGAAGCGCTCTCAGACTCAATAGAAGGTATATCTATCAATGGAGAAGTTTTGAATAACTTACGTTTTGCAGACGATACAGTAATAATTACGGATAACAACAATGATTTACAGAACCTAATGCAACGCCTTAATGAACGCTGTCATGAGTACGGACTGAAGATAAATTTAAAGAAAACTAAATGCATGATCATGACTAAATCTGCACATGCAAATATCCAATTGACTATTGAAGATACTGCAATTGAGAATGTTAATAACTATAAATATTTAGGAACATGGATAACATCAGATGTAGACCAAACCAAAGAAATTAAAACACGTATTGAATTAGCACGTACATCATTTATTAAACTTAAAAAGTTTCTTTGTTGTCGGGATATAAGGTTAGAACTACGCCTGAGAATGCTTCGATGTTACGTGTTCTCTACTCTTTTTTATGGTCTGGAAGCTTGGACACTCAAACAAGTGGATCTGAATAAGCTGGCCGCCTTTGAATTTTGGTGTTACAGAAGAATCCTACGAATATCATGGATTCAAAGAATGTCAAACATGGAAGTAACTAGAAGGATAGGAAGTGGGGCGGAAATAATATTAACTATTAAAAGACGAAAACTTGAGTACTTGGGACATGTGATTAGAGGGCAAAAATACGCATTATTACAACTTATTATGCAGGGCAAAATCCGAGGAAAGCGAAATGTGGGAAGACGAAGAATATCCTGGCTTAAGAACTTAAGGGAATGGTTTGAATGCAGTAGTGCAGAACTTTTTAGAGCGGCAGTCAACAAAGTCCGCATAGCCATGATGATTTCCAACCTTCGATAGAAGATGGAACTTAAAGAAGAAGATACTTAAAAAAGAAAAAATTCACAGAGAACGGTAAGATAAGCAAGCGTCTTTACTCACAGAATATCCTGCCCAGGATGAGTTTATTTCTCTCCAAATTTAACAAGCTCCCCAAAAAAAGTGGGATATCCCCCACTTAAAAATGACAACTTGACTAAAAGAAGGCCAGGCTGTTTCCATTTCTAGGAAGATACCCGAACATAGAAAGGTTCTACATAATTAACGGGACTCTTGTAGTTAGAAACCGTAAGAAAAGATAGAACTTCTTGAAATAGGTTCTTTCAGAAATATACTATAAAGAGCTTTTACGACTGTGTTCACCAAAGTTATCAAAAAGGATCCACTGGGACTGAAAAAGGTTATCAAAGCTCTATCATAAAATATTCTACTTCGCCTTCTGAGAGAGCCCACCAGCATATCTATTTGCGGATTCAGCCATGAGCGTATCAGCAAAAGGGGTGAAGGAATAAAAAAATATTTACTATTTTAGTTATAAAAAATGTTACACTTTCTGAATTAAATTGATCTGAATTTTCAATTGTTACAGACTGTCATATTTGAATCTTGATTATAACTTGTAGGTAGCCACGCATTAAAGAGGTTTAAACACATTTGTTTTACATATCTAAATTTAAATAAGATTAAAAAGGTATATAGACATATTGTCGATGATTAACGAATTAACGAAAAAGGGGATACCTTCATCCCTTAGTTGAAAATAGTGGCACTAAATATGTGTAACCAGTATGATAAACGGAAGTCACGTTTAGCTTCATAAAGTAAAAAAAGTAAATATCACGTACCTCATATAACATGAAAACACTGTATAGCACTTGTGCTCCATTATATAATATTAGAACCTCTTTGAGCTTAAATGGTTTTCGATTTTCCATAAATGTAGGCCCCAAAAAGAGGATCACATACAAATATCCTAGGATCATAGTTATAGTGGGAAATATGCTCTGAACCAATGGCCAGTCTGTTGTTCTCGGATCTGGAAAAGACAAGGTATACAATAAAAAGTTAACACTCTTATAGTTCCTATTTTTCCCAATAAATAGACCACCTTTATTTAAAAAATAACATTCAATTTTAAAATGTGTGAAATTTTTCACAAACAGTAACAACACTACCGGAACAATTGTGTTCTGGTAAAAAATAACGTGACTATTTTACCAAAAGGTATATTGGCAAAAATATATGTATATCTAATCAAACACATATTTTAGGTTTATGTCGTTATTTTTTTTTTCAGAAATGTTGCACCAGTTTTGAATTATATTAAATATTATATCAAAAATGATTTAAGGTAAGAATTTTTTAAAGTAATTATTTAAAATGGTCAAGGTGTTCCTGAAATAGACCAGCTGTAAATATGGCTATTTTGTCAAGTTATGAAATTCTGCAGTGCAGTGGCAATACATTCCAAGGTTACTTATGTTTTTATTTCAGAAGATAGATCCTAATGATATTATAAATAAAAATAATAACAATAAAATTTACATAACTTCTTAAAATGTAAAAAAATCAAATTTAAATACAGAATGTTACATATAAGAATTGATTTATCCTTCCTCTCAAAAAGTTGGGAAGAGTGATGAAAAAATTAAAAACTAATTTTTTTCTACGTTTCCTGCTTATAAACTTTTAATCAATTCCAGGCCAGGCTGTGGGTAAAAAAACGTAAAAAAGAGGTTTGTATTTTGAGAACGATTTCCGAAGTGGAAATTGAAACGTCAATAAACGTATTTTTATCTTTAATTGTGGCTTATTCCCAGTTAAATAATAATTAATTTAACATGCCACAAAAAAGTAGCTTCAGAACAATAATAAAAACACGTGTTATAATTCCATAATTAATTGTAGCAGTTGGGCGTTGTAGGGGGGACCTTCTTGAGTAATTCTTTTGTAAAAGCGACCAAAAATTTTTGGTTATTATTTTTTTATCGACGAAAAACAGTGAAAAATTCGTATATTTCTCATTTTTTAATATATCATTTAAGGTAATTATTTTGAAGCAAAACTGCTTATAACTTATTATTCCTTATTTTTTTACCTTTCATTTAAGCTTTTGTGAGTTCAATTTGGTCCAATAGTTTATACATAATTAGCCTTCAACGACCAAAATCGCTGTTTTTTTCAAATTGCAATATTTATTTCAAAAATGATTTTTTTTAACGTTTTTCTTTTGATTCCCCATCGAATGAAATTTTGTAAAATAAAATTCGTTAATTTGTTGCTGAGAAACATTTATTTGTTGTTCCCATGACCAAAATTTTGTAATGCTGTAACTTTTTTTAAAAAATGGTAGAAATATTTTTCAAAGTGATTTGTCTTCTTTGAGATTTAAATGTTCATTTTATACGACAGAACCCTTTAAAGACAAAGAAATAGAAAGCGAAAATGAAAGTACTGTGTGTGAATTATTTAACTATGACGATAATGATATTATACATCAAAATAAAAAAAAAGAAAAATGAGCGAATAATTTTTTAAATATGTATAATTAAGGTTCAAATGTATAACAATTATGAAATGTTTTTTGTATGCTTGTTTGTCTTTTGTATTTACTTCAATTGTTGTTTGTATGTAAAAGAAAATGAATGCATATATATATATATATATATATATATATATATATATATATATATATATATATATATATATATATGCATGTATGTATTGTGGTTGACACCACAACCAAATTATCAAGTGAATTATATCAGCCACCAATGGAGGAACCAAGACTGAAGAGGATTTAGCCAGAAAATCTGGTTACGTAGTGAAAATGGAGAACTGTCGCTAGACGGTACTACCCAAATCAACTCAATATTATCATCATATCTACTAATTACTTAATATACTGCCATTCCCATATAAATAGTCATTCCTTTAGCATTACACACTTAGATTTTCATACCTATCTACATGCAAATACTTACCACTAACTTTATCCAGCACTGTTTGGTATCTATCGGCTACAATTTTAACCATGTCAGTCATATCCTACAACAAAATGATATATAAGTGCATACAATTAATTAAAAGCCCATAATTAACGGCTGCTTGTATTTATCCGTTCAAATAATCTGCCCGGAATGCTTAATTCCTATAATTAAAGTCTTATTGATTGATCTCAATCTCGAAGGTATAATTCTGTGGTATTAATCGATTATTTGTAGTAACTTGTCTTTACTTAATGCATTTGCAAGCAGTTATAACATTTATATCAGTAGTTGTTGAAATTAAATCTCTTTTAATTGATCTATATCTTAATCTGGATATAAAAGTTTATAAACTGTGATAGAATTTTAAAGTGATTTTTTAAATACAGTGGGGTCTAAATGTTGTTTACATACAGAATTTGCTATTGAAAACAATATATCCTAAAGTTTTTCTAAAAATGATGAAACAGGTTAATTTTTTGCCCAAAGGGTATACATTTTAACGATCTATAGCGGACCAATTCGACATCGAGTTTTGATGTAAGGTTTGCTGATATTTAAGAGGGGCGGAGTCTAACGATCCATCGTTTCCGTCGCCTGGTGTAAATGTTCCAAAAATCCTAAAAATAAACTGTATCGACGCCAATTTTTTTAAATTGAGAATCGATACAGTAGTTTTTTAGGACTTTCAGGAAGATTTACATTAGGAAAAGGAAACAATATGATTGTTAGACTCCGCCCCCCTTAAATAAAAAACGGAAGTAAAACCGGAAGTAACTTTTTTTTGCATATTTTAGATTGTAAAATGACACGTTTAAGAAAAAGAACTCGGTTTGAGAACTCGCGGCCCCGTCCATATGCTCTGGAACACCGTGAAAGAAACCATAATTTTCAGAACTAAATCCGGAAGTAGGGAAGTAAATACTTCCGGTTTCATAATTCTGAATTCCATCAGTAAGTCTAAGAAAAAGTAGACGCGGTCATATTTTAAAAATACATTGAAAATTAGGACTGTAAATTTTGAAGAATGAAACCTGTAAAATTCCTATACTTTACTATAGGAAAAATTCATTTTATGGCCGCCATTTTTAAACTGGTTAAATTTTTTTAAATTTGAAACCTTAGGGGGAATCTACTCAACAATCTGTTTAATTATTCGAAAAAATTATTCTAATATCTATCACCGTTTAGGAGGAGTATTGCGCACAAGAAAAGGGCTTAGCCTTTTAGTATATAAGATTCGTTAGTGAACCCCCTTTGAAGATGTACAATTTTACTCGTTATTTTCGGCATGTGAAAATGGATGGTATCGTTTTATCATCGCCACGTCAAATAAATGCATTATTGTAAATGTGAGCGTTCACTATCAGTGCTATGCTCTAGGCGAGGATACCATGCGTTGGTCTCCGTTATAAAAGCACCATAAGTTTTCACTTACACTTCTGAGAACAAAAGGATTTGCAAAATGACAATTCAATTCATACCTCACGCAATAGACTTTTTAAACACCTTTTTATTACGGGATTATAATCGGTTACCTGCTACAATAATACCAAGAATATTTGGTAGTATCTATAGTACTATCGGTAATAATGAAGACTGAGATATTGAAATAAGATGAACATTGGTGTTGCAGTTTCGTAACGATATATAAACATTTCTATAATATTAACGGACTTTGTGGTAGTTTTGATTCTCCCCATATTCCAAGATTACAGCTTACAGCCCGTACGAAAATACGGCTGTGTTAAAAACTAATTTATAAGACGAGCCATCTGCGAAATAACACCAGACGTGTGTATGATATGAGGGACGAATTCCATTTACAAAATCAGAGTCGAGTTTTATCTCTCAAACCACACAGTTGTGTATGTGTATGCGTGTGTGTGTATGTGTGTGTTTGTGTATGTGTGTGTGTGTGTGTGTGAGAGAGAGAGAGAGAGAGAGAGAGAGAGAGAGAGAGAGAGAGAGAGAGAGAGAGAGAGAGAGAGAGAGAGAGAGTTAAGGGTACATTAGATACTTCGCTTCGGTCTTGTGGCCGAGACAGTCGTTTTATGCAGTTGGGGTCGAGGCTGGTCCATTATCAACTTTTGCCCATTTTTAAATTTTTTTGGTGGTTCCTATACGTCGCTGAAGACGTCTTTTGCGATAGCGCTTGGTACTATCATTTCATTGGGTAAGGTATAATACCATTTATCTTGCTGCATATATCAAGTACGTTTACTTGGTATATAGATTTCATATTTGTTTAGAACTTTATCTCAGTTGTGCCGCGATCCCGATTTAACATTGCCAATTGAACATTTTGCATTTGCTTTGTTTTATTTACTGTATTCTATATGTGTATTTTGTAAATATCGATTGGATTTCACGTGTGTTTGTTTGTTTTTACAACTTTGACATATGTATCCATAATTAGATTGTTTTTTTTTGTAATATTATTAATTTGTCTTTTATTTTTTTATGATAGTATGTTTGCTGCTATGCTAGGTTTGTCTTTTAGTTGTTAAATACATCGTAGTTGTCGCTTTATTTGATCCATTAGTGTTCTATTTCTTAAATAATTATCTTTTTGGTGTCGTTTCATATTAACTAATATTTAAGTTTGTATAAACTCTTGTTTAGTTATAATTGTATGTTTATTGTATGTATATTTATGTTTGATTTCACTTATTTTTAAAATAGAGTTTTATATAGTCATCTGGCTTTCATTTCTTTTTATTTTATTATACATAACCAATGCGAAAAGGAGAAAACAGGGAGATCTAGATTGAATATAATATCTTCTCTTTCCTTTCTGATGATCCCAATTGTTGTATTAAGGTCATCGTATGTGCAGAACGCAACAATTTAAATTTCCAGTTACTTACTTATACCATTACTTGTGATTAGATAAATTAATGTTATTTAAAATCCGCAATTCGAAATAAACTTACGTTTATATAATTTTTTGTATAAATATGCAAAATTCCCAGATATTATGCATTTTTCATATTTGCTTAAGTCTAGTTATAATATTTAGGATGTTATATATGCTTCAAAATTTTTTTATTTCTCTATAGCTTAAAAACTACATAGCAACAAAATAGATGAACTGAATAAAACTGTCACTTTGTTACGCAGACTGGTCAACACTGGTAAACACGTGATGTAATGTCAGTGCGTATAACTTCTTTGATGCAACGGAAAAATACCAAAAACTGATGGGTCATCTAGATTTTACGATGTTACGACGAGGTTACGTTGTTATGGAGTAATGTCCAGAGTTACGCGATGATGTTACGATACGGAGTTTTATTTCATGTCTACAGCCACCTTTTAAAAGAACAAATGGCATATGGAATTTACCATATATTCGTAACAATGCAAGAAACTATAGAGGCCATTATAATTTAAACACTAAAAAAACAACCGGTACAGACTAAATAAATATGACATTTCTAAGGGTTTTTGTTATACAGGAATTACGTAAATGTTGCAAGAAAATGCACCTTTCTTTCTGTCTGTTTTGTTTGCAGATAATCTGACTTTTTTCTCCTTTCTCAGTGGCATTTTTACGCTTCTCCTGAAGCGCTAAAATTTGTGATTTACAGGAATCACATATACTACAATTGTCGTTACGTGGATTACCAAAGGAAAGGTTGAAGTTGTTCTCACAAATCCCACGAAATGATTCATACGAAATTTTATGTTCTTGATAGTTAGTTAACTACATGTTATGTAGCTTTGAAATTTTTAACTCAGCAGGAAGGTAAATTTTGTTGGTATCTTTTAAAGAATAGTGTGATTTTCTCCCTTTAGAGATTTCAAATAAGTAAATACGTTTTGTTTGGTTTCTTGTGAAGGTTTGTGGGGTCTTGTTGAGTGTTTTCAACGACAGTCAGTGGGATATTTACCAGCACTAAGCAGAGCACCCCTTATGTACGTAACCTATTCCTCACTCATACCATGAAGCGACATGAACGCTTTTAAGCAGACCTGAACATCACATATAACATTATCTGTTAACAAACGAATTCTATATAAAAATGAAACTGCGTTATATCTATTATCTGCATTTCGAGGTCAGTAGAAAGGGATATGGTTCACTCCACTTTGACCTTTGACCACAGACGTCACAAGCTCGGTTCGCGCATCGGTCACTTCCCAGCGATGAGGTCACCGACAAGTCCTAACTTGTTTTTCAGGCAGGTCGACCCAATTTTTAAGTTCAGTAATTAGCCATTTTTAATATGAATTAATTTACATATTATTTTTGTATTTAAACTATTATCTACTATCTATAACACAATTTTATTCCAAATTATTAAATTATTAATTATTATTAAATAAAAAATTGTACCGTGTGTAGGATTTGAACTCGGGAGGTGTAGGGTCTTCAAACTATAGGCAACACTATAATGAGGCCACTTAAATAAGAGTTTTGCTTTTCTCTATCTCCCAGCAGATTATACTCTAAAATAATTCTTTTTCGTCCCTCTTCTGGATGAAATTCATTTGTTTTTTGAACAAGTCATCAGTTTCACTGCAATTGTCTGAGTAGTCACTTTTCATTATTCTTAAACACAGGTACACAGAAAACTTACAAATAACACGCTCTCGACAAAACAAAGAAATAGCTATGCTGCTGAACAACAACTAACAGACAGACAAGTGTACAACACAAATCCCAGTAACGGATTACTATACAATATTATTTTTTATTTGACTCACGGGGTTCTTCCATTCACGCGCATTGACTGACGGGGTTTTTCCCCGGTGCCGTATATTTTCTAACGTGGATTTTAGTAGATCCACGGTGTTTTGTACAGAAGCTAATAAATGTTTAAAAACTATTCGTTTGAAGCCACTGGATAGCGTCATCAGCCCAATTCTTGAAAAAATTGACTAACGGGGTTTTTCCCCCTGTGCCCTTCATATTATGTAGTCACCTTTTAGAAGAAGGAATTTACCTTATACTCGTAATAATATAAGAAACTATGGAGGCGATTATAATATCAAAGACTAGAAAAGCAAACGGAATAGACTAAATAAATATGGCATTTCTAAGGGTTTTTGTTA